GTCACAACCTCAACGCCGGGTAAATTTGTTTAGACAGCTCTTTCAGAACCAGTCCATTGGTGAATCAATACTATGATTCGACAATTTGTAGGTGGTTTAGAAGCTACTAACCGCAACAAACACGACCTGAGCGTTTTTATTGAATATTTTACAAAAAAAGTAATGTATTAATGGCTGGACTAAATTTCCCTTGGGTATTTGTCCAGTCATTTACATACTACTTACTGCAAAATATATATACATATAGTGATGTTAAAACAATCAGTACTACCACTGAACCAGTACGAATTTCTTACATATTAGCAATAGTTACTTCAGTATAACCTAGTGCTACTCAGATACACTGGCTCGGACTAAATGAGCTGCCGAAGAGGTTGCTACGGCCGGGACTGGGTATCATGGGTTGTGACTGGTCATCTTTCCCGTACTCCGTCCAAAATGCTACCATATCATCAACTTCTCAGACAGCCTCTATTGAGGAAGCAAAAGACAATGGAAAATCAATATCCGGGGCTATAACCGGGTTGTCGAACCACTGACAGCGTAAGAACGACACACGATCCTGGTTGTGGCAAACGGCCGCTGGCTTTGTTGTGTACCGAGGTGTATTGGGCATCTTGTATAATTAACCGCGTCTGAGGAAGTATAATCTGATAAACTGGACATCAGTTTTCAAACCACCCCACCGGCTTGTGGAGGAGCCTTCGGTTAGCTAAAGGGTCCTAGAGTGAATTCCACAAAAAGACTCACTTGCCTTGGCTGGAGCATAGTAGTGGTATTTCGCTAACGAGCAAATCGTGTAGCTATTTCTTTATGATGAAGATCACTGTATATTGATTTGTCTCGAACTCAGTATGGACTCAGACATGTATCAAACACAATATAACATAATAGTCTAATTGAAGAACAAACACTGACATTCTTTAAACAAACTCACCAATGATGGTTTTCGACGCGTTCCTTCGGAACAAATGCTGCCTTCCAGGTCTGAAAAGTCTTCCAGAACAGGTGTCTGTCGGACAATAATTGAAGAACTATCTTCACTCTCTCTAGGCGAAACTCGCGAAGTGGTCTGTTCATCCACGGAATTGATTTCTGGCTGATTCACCTCATCGAACAACTTTCCCCAATCCCGATCAACCCCACTACATGATATTTCTGTCAAACGTTTTCTATATGGTGAAGCTGTCTCAGAAGATGTAGACGATCTGACGGTCGATTTCTTTGTGGCCTGATTGGGCCCCATCACTGGATTTGAGTGGAGATAATTAGCGATATGCGTGAGATTTTCCGTTGGTGGTTTAGCATCATTAGAACTGATACGAACAGTATCGTTACCGGCGGTCACCTGCGACGGAGAATATGAGCAATATTCTGCTGTACGGGAACTAGGAGATAAATTTGAGGGAGGTGACGAATTTGACTTTGGTTGCAACGTCAGACGACGTTTCTTTTTAGGAATGCTAATAAAACTGTCCCAGTCCAGCAGGGAACGTCGAGCTGGCGGTGCCGATGAAACGGGGTTTGGTTGTGAAAGACTATTGGATAAAGACCCCAGAGGAACTGATGGTGCTGGTGGTTGGGGCTGAGCCTGCCCAGGTAAACCGTCGAGTTTCAAAGGCTTTCGCGGAGGGGAATGCATGGGGGGTGATGGTGAGGATCGCTTTCTTTTCTTTGTGATATGCAAATGTTTCCCGATGGGTCCATTGGTAACAGAATAAAACGATTTATGCTCCACAGCGGGATACGGGGTCACCTTGTGCTCCTTGAGTGGAGCTTCACTCTTCATCGTAGGGGGTTGAAGGACCAGACACACTAGAATCAGAAGCAAATGAAATAAACGCGTCAACCGGATTCCCTGACCGAACGTGTGAATATAGAAATGAAGATATGTGCATACAGCGTTTTTGTAATATTTTCACATTTTTTTATTTTTTCAGTATATAGGGAAGGGGGCTGCGACAAAATAAAGGCCGTATACACAAACGGGAAAGATGGGTGGCAGTGGTGGGATTCGACGTCAGGACCCACGGGTCGCCATTTTGACGATCATAACTACTTGACAACTGCTGCCTACATGAGATTGTTCGATTACCGCCAGAATAAAAGGGCTAGTTTCTGACTGGGGTCAGAGAATCTGTGATCACTCTGGTCAAGGTGTCAGATAAATCGATTTGATCAAGAAATAAGTGTCTCAACTCGCAAGCGCCGAACGAGGTTTGAACCCCACCACCGCCATGCAACTTTGGTGGTTAGCAGCTTTGCTGTCGTCCGTTTCAATACCATACCTAACCTTGCGGGCCTTATGTGGCTCACCACTCCAAGTTCCAGGGCTATGGTGATCGGTTTCCATTCTCGAACAGCAGGTCTTCGAGGTTCCCCGTCTGTTGCTCATCACACAAGTGTGTAACAAAAAGAATACTGCTAGACCAGTAGGCGGAAAAATTAGGATAAAACAAATAAAAGAGGACTATCTATAATTAACTAGATTTCAATACCCTTTAACCCGTTTTTACTAATTATTAATGATCAAACATATGGCTTTTGCTGCACCAGAGAGAAGATAAATACAGCGAAATGCTATCATTTCTTTTATTCTCCGCAGTCGCTACAACGTAAACGAGCAAGAAAGTCGTTACCCCTACCAAAAATTGATTTTTTCTGCTTTGTTATTCAGGAATTCGCTCCTACAGCTTCCCTCCTTCAGAGAAAGCCGTGCACATTTTCCTGTTTTAGAATTTTTCCTCCTCATATGTACCCCCTCAAACATCTCTAATGTCATCGGGATCTTCAGTTTATTTTTTGTTTCACACGTCTGAATCCAAACAGATAATGGTACAATAATTTAAGAAAAAAGAGACGTTCATGATCTGATCGGGATCGTACTAACGGCTGTGCATCAAATAGGAATCCGGTCCATATTCTGTCCCGTCAAGCTTCGTCTCACCCAATCCTTCTCCACCGGCTAAAGCTCCTCTTCGTTCTTGATGTCCGTTAAAACTAGTCACGGTTAATGTGTGCGCTCCGATGCATATGGGATATCAGGCATGTTTAGCTCGTACCCTCGAGACCCTAACCATCGATGAGTGTTATATTCAAGAAACTCGCATTCAAGATTTCAGCTCCCCACCGGATTGATCTCCCAATCAAACCCATTCGCGATTTCTCACTCCGGACTTTCTGAAGACCCCGAGGCTGTGACTTCCAGTCTTGCTGGCGTTGACGTGGCTCTCAGTGAGATTCGAAGCTGCAGTCTTGGGTGGAATCGCTGTCGGTGGTCGGTTATGCGCAGCGTGACTCAGAAGCTCGTGCAAAGTAAGCAGTCGTCACTCCGGAGGACGTAATTTTTCGTTGTCTCAGCGTATGAACCCACCAACTATAACCCAGATACAGTCAAGGACATTTTCTACCAGAAAATTCACGACCTCTTGCGTAAATCGAATCCAGCTGATATCACAATTTTAGCATATGTGAATGCTAGAGTAATCCGGCTGACTTCGATCGAGGTGCATCCGAGTGGTTAGTTCAGATTAGATTCTTGTCGCTCGGAAAACGCGGGAACGGCTATTGACTCTACGTTCCGACCACGGCTTATTCCTCTCCAGTATGAACTTCAGACTATCCAACAGCCGGTACGTCACTTGGCGTGGTCACCGGCTCGATTGGGCATCGAAGTGCATTGGGCATCTTGGACTTTTGACCCCGTCCTAAGGGCGTATAATCCGACGAACTGGACACCGGCTCCCAATGGATTGCGGTTTTTATACACCGCCTCGCTGCCTTGAGGGTCCGGCTTTGGTTAGCCAAAGGCTTTGGTTGTGGATTGCTCAAGAAAACTCACCTGCCTTGGCCTTGGCAACCTGGTAGTATTCCGCCCACATGCAAATCATGGGACGTCTTTCATTTTCATAAAGATTATTGTACCAAGATTTGTTTGGCACATAGTCTGGATTCAGATGTGTGTGAAAATATATACAAAATACATTCGGCGTCCACCCTCCTCGAGTTAGCGACGAACGCAGATCGATCACGTCGCTATAAGCCGCAAGTGGCGGGGTTGTATACAACATTGCCGATCCTACTAAAGCACTCCCCTCGAACCTGATCATACAACAGTTTCCGTCAATCAGTCCGTGCTTCTGTGGGCGCTCTAAACGTTAGACAGCGCGAGTTAGACTGCGATAAGTTTTCCAAACCAGTACACCGAACCGTCTTTCAGAACGCGCTATTTGAAAGCTACAATCAACCCCATCTGATAACATCAGCCAGCACTAGTCGCACGCTATACATTCTGTTGGTTTAGTACATCGTGTCATGGCGCCTTGGGTTTCCGCTGCGTCTCTGTGCATTCTTGACGCCAGTAGGTTACTTCCGACCGGCAGCGAGCATAACGTAGCACGACGTGTAACGAGAAATAAACTTCACGTAAGCCTACGCAGAGAACGCGAAATCTGGTGGTACCAACGCGCATTAGAGATGGGAATTGCTGCCACCATGGGAAATTCCCGTAAGTTGTTCCACTTCATTCGAGCCAATAGCAGGAAAGCTTTGGGTGTGAACGAAATGATCTACAAAGCTGATGGCTCGCTTATTTACAATCAACAGCGACGTCTTGCACGCTGGGCGGAGCACTTCAAAGTACAGTTTATTTGTCCACCAGCGTCAGCTTCACACACTGCTATTCCGGCACACGTCCACTGGTGTATCTCAATAGACCCACCTCCCGAGAGAGAAGTCCGTAAGGAGATTCCAGCCTTGGGACGTCACAAATCGCCAGCCTCCAAAAGTCTTCCCTCAGCTCTATATAAAAATGACGGAACAAAATTTATCAGAGAACTGCAAGATCTGTTCTTTAAATTTTGGCAGACTGAGCAGATCCCCTGCTCTTGCGGGGAATCAATTTCTCCGTCTTTAAAAAGGGCTCATCATACAGGTCAAAGCTCACAGAGTCCAGTATTCTTAGCAGATTATACAAGACGCCCGAGGAGTATGCCATCGTCATCATCGTACAGCGTAATACACTGATCTCTGTCAAACTCATAATGCACACAAGGTAAGTGACACTGTGTAAGGAGGATAGGGATTGGGCTTGTTTTAGGGATGGGAAGAGAAGGCAAACGTCCGTGGTCAACACAGCGTACATGGTCCAATTGTGCATACATACTATTTCAAGCACTTTGGTCTGACAAGAATTGATAGCAAGTTCACCAGTGCTATCGGTTTGCTGTCACAGCCTTCAGTGTTTCCAACCATCCAACTACCGGCTTCTTCTCCCAAGTTTATCTCAGAAAGCGAAGTTTACCAGGGCTATCTCTTTTTCTTCTAGGCTTTGAAGTAGATGTAGTTTTAGAAATTGTTTTGCTTTCGTGTTAGGAATATTCCACCAGGCAGTAGATTGTATGATATGAAGAGCTTAGGTGACACTGTTCTGCTAAGATGTATTGCGCACCTTGAGCGTTTGATCCCGTCCAAAGGGCGTATGATCCGATGCACTGAACGCCGATCCTCAAAGGATTTCAGTTTTCACACATCTTCCCGTTGCCTTGTTGGTTATGCTTTAGTTAGTCAAAGGCTTCTGTGGTAAATGCACCGAGAAAATTCATATGCTTTGGCCTAGGGAACCTAGCAGCATTCCGCCAACAAACAAAGACACTGTGCTGTGATTTGTTTGGCACAGAATTCGAAATCAGACGAGTGCGAAATAGAAATTGACTGTATTATTCAGTCAAAACACAGATAAAGAACAAGGCTGTCTGGATGATTTAAGTGATGTAAAGGCGTGCAATAAGCGTTTTGCGTGCTCACGGGATGAAAAGCTGTAATAGGACCAAGCTAGTCAGTCGCCTAGCTTTACGTGTACGGCAGACAAACAAGGAAGTACATAAATTGCAATACTTGGGTCGCTGCGTTCCTCCTGGAGGATAAATTTCGTAGAAAGTTTCATTTTCAGAGGACGATATTTGTGTCAGTCAATTTGAAACACCTTTGGTGCATCCGCGATATCAAGTAAATATTAGTAAATAGTAGTGTCGATTGCAGTTGTCCGGCTAGTGTTGCAATGTGGCGCAGATACATGGTAACTAAGAGACTAATATAAAGACCGATTACCACTGTTGGAACAAATGTATCTAAGCTGCAGTGCAAAGGTCTGGTGAGGCAGTCAATATCGAGGTTAGGCCTAAAGTTACATGTGACTGCGGCAGTGCATCGGGTGATGATGATCCCCAGAAGTGTGTTACGCAAGTCACCAGACCGGCTTCTTCGGTTTGAGACGCTTGACACGTAATGAGTAAGATAAGGTGAGGGATGACCAGTATCAACATCATCATTGTACACCGTAATACAGTGAAGCGAACTTCAACTTTGCATACATACTATTTTAAGCATTCGGTCTTGTTAAGAAAGGACAACAAGAGCACCATTGCTGTCGGTTAGTCGCCATATCCTTCAATGTCTCCAACCATCCAGGTACAGTCTTTTGAACCCCAACCCGGAAGACAAGACATATCTACTCTACCTAATCGCCCTATGCATTTCTTTGTCTAAACTCCGCGTCATCCGCTGGCCTCATCAGCATCATCATCGTACAGCGAGATACAGTGAAGCGAGCTTCGCTGATCGCTGCCAAGCTCACAATGTACACAACTCAAGTGATAAAGCACAAGATGGAGAGGGATTGGGCCTAGTTGGAGGGAGGCAAAGAAAAAGAACCTCTATGATCAACACACAGAGTACACAATAGAAGTGTGCATACATACCTTTTCAAGCATTCTGATTTGATAAGAAATG